ATATAGAATGTTTTCGGGGTGCTGTCCGTTATACATTATATAAAATTTAACTAATAAAATCCGTTATAGAAAGAGGTATTAAATAGTAAAAAATTGGGCCAGAATTTTTTGTCCGCTATAGAGAAAAATCCGTTATAGAAAGATCCGTTATAGAGAGAGTAAACTGTATACCAGAAATTCCAGAACGTTTATCATTTATAAATTAGGAAATACCAAATTCCCTGACTGTAATGATTAATTTCAATTAATTATTAATTTAAAGTAGAAAAAATAAGGTGTGAGGAACAAAAAAATTATATTATTGGTGTCACTATTTTTTACATAGATATGTTCCTTGCACCTTCTCTACATGTTGGTGGAAATGAGATCCACAGGTCTACCACTTATTAGAAGTTATTAATTTTCAAAGTTTTAGAAATTGTACAGCTCACACCCTCATTGGGCTTATAAAAAATGTCCATGATAGAGGAATCCATTATTATTATAGACAGTTAAATTTTCTCTGACAGTTATAGAGCAAGCTCTGTTATAGAGAAATCTGCTATATATTAATATAATTAATGTATGGAGGTTCTCTACAGTTTTGAGAAAAAAATTACAATCAAAAATGCAATAAACATGGTTAGGTCATGTGATATTTCCTAGTCATTCCATAAATAGTAAAATCGGCAATATTGTATTACCTAATAGGATTTTGTTCCAAATTGTCCATTTTATATATAAAAAATTTGCATGTAACATGACAGTTTTGGAGTTAACATAATAAAATTGTGCAACTTTGAGGCTTGGTAACATGACATATCAACAAATGAAATCATTATTTTTCAGTGTTACATTTCCATTTTTGGAGGATTTGAAGGGTCTACATGGCCAATAAAAAGTTGTGGGACTAAGTGACTTGCACAGGACCTCAGTTAATTAAAAAGTTGTAATTTCTACCCTGAATATTTTATTCAAAAAATTCAATTTTTATTATGAAAATACTTGAAGATTTGCTGGTGTTTTTACAAGATCACTGCTCCATTTTCACCATACCAGTTCAATTATAATTATCCAAGGTCCTACTTGCACTATAACAAGATTGTCATCATTATGCAAAATTGTTGTGCTAATCAAATTTAATAATTACTTTTCAAAAAAACTGCTGATAATTGCCAAATATGATTAGAACGTAAAATTCCGCATTATCATATGAAGAATCATCTATTACTATGTTTCAAATAGCTGCTTTTCATTTTTTAAATAATAAATTTTTCATTATGTGTAAATTGTATATATTGCCACAACTATTTTATTTTTAGAAATATTAATAAAAAATATCAATTATAACCTAAAACAAATAAAAGCTAGGTGTAATTTTAGGGAAATACTAATGTTGCAACAAATAAATTGAACAGAACTACCTTAGACAAATATGATAAAACAGTTTAAAAAATAATAAAATAATGATGGTGATAAGAGGAGGAATAAATACATAAATACAAAATATTATTTTGATTTAAAAGTAATTTTAAAGAATTTATCATCTGCAAAACTCTTAACCTCGATTTTAAAATTATTAATTGATTTTCTAGTCTTCATTCTTTGTCCATAATCTCCCAAAATTTCTATATGCTGATTTAGTTCAAGTTGTTCACTAAAATATTGTAAATGTTTAAATGGTAGATGACAAAAATGCTTTAATAATTCAAAAATGTAATGTCTTGAGATGAACCAATCCATTTCTAAATATTGAATATTTGTATATATGAATAAATTGATGAACCGTAGAAATATTGTGTTTGCATCATAGATTTTATTACGTTGAATTGGTAAAAAATTGTCAATGGATTTCAAGCTCAACTTGACCAATTTAAGATGATCATTATTTGATTTTACTTTATTATTATTATTATTATCATCATTATTATTATCATTATTATTATTATCGTTATGATTATTATTAACATTGGTAGTATTATTATTGGTTACTGATAATTTTCTTGTGAATGTTGTTGTTGAAATCATTGAATAATTAGAATAATTACACACATTTCCATTTATATTATAATTATAACCATCATTACAATAATCTTCATCTCCATCACCTTCATCATCTTGATTTTCATTATCATCATCATCATGTTGACAAATTTGCCTTGGATATAATGTGGAATTATAATGTTCAAGAAAATCCAGGAATTCTTCTAGACCACCAGCAGTACCAACTGTTAATGATAATTCACGTAAATTTGGACAAAAATCCTTTATTGATTCTATTATATAGGGATTTGTTTTAAAATAAAATTCTAGTGTCAAAGATTTCAACTTTTCACCAACTTTTTGCATGATTTGGAGAAAATAATCAGTGAATGGATATTCTTTTACTCGAGAATAATAACTTAAATGTAAACAATTCAAATTTGGGAAATTTGATTTATGAAGAATCCTCATTATAAATCTGATTTGTTCCTTATCAAAACTCAACTTTAATCTTTTAATGGATGGATATTGATCAGGTATTGTGAAATTAGAATAATCATAATAATCATAGTAAACAGGAGTTGTAAAATATGATAAATTAAAGTCAATCAATGAATTGAATTGATTTTGCATTAGACTTATAATTACTCCAATATTATCATAACTGGTACCTTCTAAACTAAATTTTCTCAAGGATTTTTGCTTTTCTATTAGATTAGCTAACTGTTTAACAGATTTATCTGATGATTTATGCCCATAATTATCAATTATCATGTTGGAAATATTGTGTGAATATTTAGCTAATCTGCGTAGAAATTTTCCATTGAGAATTTTTCTTTTATAAATTAAAATTTTAAGATGTGATAAACATTGTTTGGCATTAGGATAACTTGGTAAATCTTGAAATAAATCATTATGAAAACTGATATCTCCAATTGATAATTTGACAATTTTATTGGATCTTGAGATGAACACTTTACACAACTCTGCCACTAAATGCATTATATAGGAGGGAGTGACATCTCCCTCATCATCACTATCTAAATCATTACTACTTAGATCATTATCTTCATCACTAACAACAGTATCAGTTGATTGAACTGATGGATAATAAATATTATTGTTATCACTATAGTAATTTTCTCCATATTGATATCTAACCCATTCAGTTGCAGCTTCATGTAATTCTTTGACATCTATCTCCCTTAAATAAGAAGGATAATCAAAGGCTGTTTTTGATTGTGGAAATTTAGGAATATTACTTTCTAATAAAAATTTTACTGATTTTGGACTTAGATATGATACATATACTGAAATGATTTTATAAAGTTTACTAGAGTCGATGCAGAATGAAAATGGAGCCATCCATAAAAGTTTTGTGCCTATATTACACCATAATCTATTCACCAAAGACATTGATCTTAAGCTTGAAATATAGTTCTTATTATATAAAAATATATTCTCTATTACGTCTTGTGGTATTTCTTGTACCATTGTTATTCTTTAGAATTTTAACTATGAATACTATTTATATGTAATAAAGCAACAATAAATTTTTATTTTGTGTTTATTTTTTTGTCAAACGAAACAATCTTGGGTTTAAAAAAAAAAAAACCTCATTGTTTTTTGCTTTCAAATTTATTGTGGCACGTTAAAAAAAAAAAAAATTCAATTACAAAGTAAAGTGGATAAAAAATTTCTTTTATATTTGATAATATCAACAATAATAGAAACTCTTTTTATACATATTACAAATTTATTTAATTCTCAGAAAAAATATTCAAAAAGGCGTTATTAAATCATGGGGCAAGAACATCCTTGGTGGGGAAATTTTGGTGGTCCAAAACAAAAAGGTATTGTCACCTATTCACTATCACCTTATCAACAACGACCTTTTGCAAATGTGTTTAAAGAAGGAGTATTTAACGTTTATAGAAGAACTAAAGCTCAAATATTTTACGTTGGTGTTCCTATTTCAATTGGTTATTTAATTTATGATTACCATAAGAAAAGACATGAATATTTGTATTCAAAAGCTGGTAAAGAAGAATTAGATAAATTACTTGAATGATTATAATATTATAGTATTTATATTATGTTATAATTAAATAAATCAAAAGAATTATTCTTGCACCGTTCTTTTCATTAATTCATTCTTAAAAAAAAATATTATGTTTATTAATTTAAATGAAAGAATAAAAAAAATATACATTTATAAACATTAATATTTATTATAACATATAACAAATAAATCTATTATTATTATTGTAAATTAGCAAATGTTCGTTTATATATATATATATATATATATATATATATATATATATATAAATCATTTTCTGTAAATGACTTTTTTTCCTTGGCTAAAAAAATTTAATATCTGGAAAAAGAAAACGAAGTTGTATATATATATATTGTGAGGAAAAAGAAAGAAACAAAGCTTTAGTGAATTCAGATTAATTTTTTTTAAAAAAAAAAAATACAAAAAAAAAGAATCTGATAAATAGTAATTTATAAATAATAGAAATAGTAAAATAAAAAAAAATATAAAATAAGTAATACAACGAATCAGTTTAATGTGGAGGAAAAAATAAATTTTTGTTTTTTTAACATTTCAAATCATCAAAATCTAATCGAAGTCCTTTTAAGCTATAAAAAATGACTATATTATTAAATCTTGTTACAAATAAAGAAAGGAAAAGCAACAAACAAATAATAGCAATGACAAAACAAGAAATATCAGAAACAATTAAATGTCCTTCCTTTAATATAAATCTATGCAAGATAATTATAGACACGTCTATTAATAATAACAATAAAATAAATAAAATTAATTAATTAATTAATTTAAATATATATATAATATATATTACAGTAATTATTTATTTACCTATCACCGCTTGCTCTTTCTAAATATTCTCGTTCAATTAAAGCTTCAATTCTTTTCTTAATCATTGGAGGGCTAGGTACAAATCTTGGTTGTAATTGTCTTGAAACTTCGCCAACCAAGTTATTATGTTCCATAGTTTTACGATCTTTCATGATTCTTACAATTGCTGCTTCTGTTTGATGTTTCCTAGCTTCTTCGACCTTTTCTCTTGTATCTTTTCTTTCACCTTCCGTCTCTACTTTGCTTGCAACTGTTTGAATCTTAATACGTTGATAGTTTGCTGTAAAATCAGCATTGTAATAGAATATATCTCCATTATTTATCTCTTTTGATTTAGGTTCCTTTAATAAAATTTTATATTTAGCACAAGCCAAAGACTGAAGATTACGTTTTAAATCTGTTTCTGGAATATCACTTTCACCTTTTATTTGCTTTTTATATATGATAATAAATAATTTATAAATTAATAATGATAATGATAATCTAATAATAAAAAATAAATAAAAAATTCTAATTACTTCATATGATAAACCCTCGCCATCAAGTAAATCATTAAACATTAGTAAAACAACCATTTGATATGTTGACACGTTGATTTCATGTTTACGTGCTTTAAAGGTAGCTCGAATATCAGCATTTCCCTAAATAAAATAATGATAAATCAAAGTATTAAAAAAAGGTTAAAGTCGTAAGAAATAAATTTTATCTGTGCACGCATACCATATTAGATTGCCATGTTAGCCTTCGACCACTATGTCGTGCTAAATAGAACCTTTGGAAATTTTCGCAAGCTTTGGTTATTTCTTCGGGGAAATTGCACCTTGGACTTGCTGATAAATTCATAGGCCAAAAAGTAGACGTAAGTACTGTGACGCTAAGTTCTAATTTTGGTCGCTGTAATTTTTTTAGAGAAAAAATCACTTTTGTTTTAATAAGGAAGTTTAAATGGTTAAATTTTTGAAATTGTTAAATTTAATACAAACATCTGAATAACTTTTATCCAAAAATTCTTTAAAGTCTGCCATAGTATCTAGTGAAATTCTCATATCATTAAACATTCCTTCAAGTTTAGTGGTAAATTGATACCCGCACTCAATCTTTTAGCAATAAAATGAATGAATGAATATATACACGCATCCTAATTACTAAATAGTTATCAATACATAATAAAAAACCAAAATACCTTAAGTTTTCCTATCATTCCTCTTTCTGCGTCATCACTGACACTACGACCTAATAATAATCGTTTAGCTAAATGTTGTTTATAATATCGTTCAAACACATCTTTTTCCCCAATGAAACGGAACAATGTGATTGTTTTGTCCAGCACATTATCCACTTCCTCTTCTGTTTTCTATAATAATTAATTCATTATTTGTGTAAATAATAAATAATCAATTTTATCAATATAAAATGATTATCCGGTGCTCTACTAATGTATATGCATACCCCTTTTAATCCTTTCTTGAGATTATCATCAATAAATAATGAAATAAATTCTGGTGATTTGGAATTATTGTTTATGAAAAATTCAAATGCCTAATAATCAAATATAATCAAATATTATATAATTATATAACTTATAAATTTATATTTATAAGCATATATATTTTATATTATTAACCTCATTAAATGATGTTTGAAATGATTTATCGCTTGACAAAGCAAGGTTCTGAACTTTATCGAATTTATCTTTAAGATCTAAAACTTCTTGAACCCATCGTATTGCAGCAATAGTTCCAGTCTGTTTTTCACCATTAGAGGCATTATTTGATCCTTCACTGGTAGTATTTGACGAACTACTTGTCACTTTTTCATTTATTCCTTTACCAAGTTCACGTATATAATTACTGATTGAGGTTTTCATTTCTTCGTGACCTTTCGACACTCGTCCAAATAATTTGTACATTCTTGCCAAATCTAATAATAATATTATATATATGTTTTTTAAATATTATAAATAAAACATTGTATACACGTCTATATTTAAATACTTTACATACCGTCCATTTTCTCATTTCTTAACATTGGTATCAAACCTGAGTTCTCCATCTATAATTAATACAATTGGTTTAAAATTTCAATTGATTATATTATAATTATAATAATATTGATTAAATATATGCATGTAAGATAATTACATCAATTACTGTCTTGAGATGTTTTGAAATTAATTCTTCTTCAACAATTGCCCTAATTTTAGCCTCTGTAGTAGAAGATAAATAATTGCGAACTCTCTGTTCTTCTTCGATAAGTCTTTTTTCTACCTATATTAATTCATTTTTTTTTTAATAATAATAATATGATAAAATAATAGTTGATTGATCATGTAAAATTTAACAAACCTTTTTCATATATTCTGGTGCATCACAATCGCTTACAAGCATTTGACCTTCAACTCTGTAATATTCTGCACTAGTTTCTAAAAACCGACCTTCAAAATCAATATCGTATACAGTGCTTCCAGTATCTGCATCTATTAATTGTAATAGCATATCCATTGCTGCCTTCACACTTGATCGTTCGATCATCTCATTTTCACGTTCAAGTTTAATTTGCTGTAGAAGAACTTCTAGAAGATGTGTTTGAATCGGGTATTTTTGAGATCGAACAATTGTATCCCTAAAAAGTTCCAAACCTAAATCATATACCAAAGGTACATTTGCAGATTTGGCATATACACGATCCTTTTATGTAGTGTGTTTAATTTGTTAAATATTGCCTATGAATTGAAAAATTACTCGAAAATACATTTGATTCACAAAAAAAAGGGGAGAAATAAAATTTTCCGAAAGCAATAATTAATTAATGTGTATATATAATTACCATATACATAAGTATATCCCTTATCATAAGCATACAAGTTGTATGGTCTTCCCAAACTTTCTTTAATACCTCTAAAAATTTTGCACCACCAGCTACATTTGTATGGTTTGCATGTGAACTGCTTGCACCAGATTTTGGAAAAGCAGGTACAACATGTGCGAAAGCAACTTCTTCTAAATGTTGAGTAATAACATCCTTAACTCCGTTATATAATTTATCGCCATTCTTATGGAGTACCATGTTATAAGCATTACGATATAATTCTTCAAAACTTAGGATCGATGCATTTTTTCTGTGAATTTCCCTAATGGCTTGTGCTAAGCGTTCCCAATTATCGCTAAATTGACTATCGGCTGCATTCTGTGAATGATGAAACATTGTTTTTTAATTTAAAGTTAATATGTAAGTTATTGATTAGCAAATAAATGTTATTTGTTACGTAATAAAAAAAAAACTAAAAAAACAACAACAACAATTTATGATAAATTTCTAAAAAAAGTTTAATAAAAAATTAAAAAAAATTTAAAATATAGTTCTATAAATGGTGTTGTTGACGTTTTCTAAATTCGAAAATAGCTTAAATTAATCTCAATATCGTATATTCTATATAATCTATAATAAATGATATCTAGATTTTGAACCTTATATTCGTCTAATACTAGATCACACAACAAACAAGTTCTCATGATCTATAACTTAAAGTTGATTTCAAAAAAAACTACACTCACAGGTCTCTTTGGTGGCTTTATTTTTCCTTTAGAAGCCGGACGTCGGGTGCTCATATTGTTTATAGGTAGGTTAATAGAAAAATTATAAAGCTACGCTTTAAAGCAAAAGGAAAAATTTTCCTTAATCCGGAATATTTTTATAAACAATTTTTATATAAAGCGTTATAAATGAATTATTCTTAAATTTATTTGCTTTTACGATTTTTCAACGATTTGATTGTTGTTTTAAAATAGATAAAAAAGAGTTAAAAAAGTTAATAAATATTAAAGAGTTATTTTTTTTTTTGAAAATATAAATATGTGGGGGCAATTGAATAAGATTCCCAATTCAGAGTACTGCGGTTTCCTATTTGCGTATGTATACTGCAATGTCGCAGGACAAATATCACACTAGTACTAGTACTAGAAAAATAAATATAAATTCGGGAAAAATGCGACTAACTAGTCACTTTCGCGTGATAAAAAAACGATTATTATTAATATTTTATTTTTTACAATAGTAAATTCCTTACAATCAAAAAATGATTTTTTTGCAAATTCTCTCAATTGAGTGATAATTTCTTATATTTTATTTATCAAAAAAATTTTAAAAATTATATGTAATCTTCCACAGTTGGCTGTGACTCATCATCACTCGCTGTATTCAAATCAATGGATGACTCTTTAAAAGACTAGCTTTTTGGGTCATGGATTACAATTGATTCAACTAAACCAACGCCTTATGGTTTAAATCATATTCCCTTTTTACCAGATGGCATATGGAAGAGCTTTAAATATGTAACTTCTTCATCTTCTAAAAAGGCTCCATTCGTGAAAGCTCTTAAAACCAGACTTTACTCTAATTGGAGAAAAAAGTAAAGAATAATAAAATGGATTTGTGCTATTCGCTGGACATACAACCAATGCTTAAGAACAGTTAATATTGATATAAAAAATAAAATAAAATCAATAAATCTGAAAAATTTACATCCATTGACTCTGGTCTCGAATGGGTTCATAGCACCTTTTATGGTATTAGAGATGCAGCAATGATTGGCCTATTATTGAATAGTTATAAGTCAAATATTCTCCAAAAAAAAAGACAAATTACAGCCAATTGTTATTACAGAGGTTGGGGAAGAATAAGAGTACTATTCATTCCTCAAAGGTATTAATTAAATCAAGTGAGAAAATACCTGAAATAAAATATGACTATCATCTCGCCATGAATCGTCTTGGCGAATTCTACTTATGTATCCGTAACCACCTGGAATTAAACCCGATAACCAAGGTCCTAAATTTTCGGTGGTTGAAGAGAAATAGAGGTGCTGACATTATTTTTCTGATCCAGAAGTGAGAATTTTCATGGCTGTATATGGTCCAAGTGGCGAGGTTATAGAATGGAAAAATCAAAACATAAATAGATTATATCGCTTGTGCTTGCATTATGATAGAATTCAAAGTGAAGGAATTCTATTCATGGTAAAGCAAATAAGCGTAAAAAAGATACAAGCTTTGTTGATGCATGCTCTAGATCCACAAGAAAATTCGTAATCTGGTGGATGAGTATTGAAAATTTGCAATGGTTATATGAAACCATCATGTTAATTTACTTCCTGAATTTAAAACACAAGAAATACCAAAAATGACAGTTTAAAAAGATCCAATCTAAAAAATGATGACCTGGACATACTTCCATAAATCCTGCGAGTATCTTTGTCATCTGCACCGGAAATACACTTGTAAAACATGTGGATGTTGTGGACGTATCAAACAAAATCTTGATCCTTAAAACCTTTAGATGTACATCTTGCAAATCAACCATTTATAGAGATGTAAACAGAGTCCCTTAACATGTTTTTAAAATGCATTACAGAAGTATGACAAGAATCGCTCACGAAACGTTAAGGCTTACACTGAAGCATCCATTGTAAACTATCTACGTGGGACTTGTACCAAGATATAGTATTTTTAATTTTAAATTTAAAGGTTGCGTTAAATTTGTAGCATGCATGATGAAGTTCTATTTATCACGTCTATCACTTCGTGACGATCTCGAAATTATGTTGTGTGACTGTATTATTTTAAAGTACTTCGGTATAATATATTCAAATAAACTTTGTAATTATATGTAAGATGAAAAAAAATAATATAGTTTCTTCTCTAATGAAATAATTTTCATGAATTTCTATTAGAAGCAAAGGAATTTAAATAGCGACCTCGCTTTATTAGAAAAAAAACTTTTTTCCAATATAATCACAGATGAGACTCTACCATTAGATGTAAAATCAAACATAGATTGTTATTTAAACATGTGGCATCTCTAATATGTCAATATCTAAAGAGGTATTCTTCATGGAATTATTAAACTATTTTTTATATACAATTTAATTACAGGTAAGTAATTTCTTACTCTCTTATGAATAAAGGCTATCTTTTATATTACAAATTCAAGGAAAACTGCAGATAGATGTAATTTTTATTGAATAGAATATTGACGTCTTATTTATCTATCTATTAATACTTGTTTTTATTAATAGTTATATATGCAATTAATTATTTGAGTACAACATAATATGATGAATGAACACAGTCATACTATTATTAAATATTATTACTTTATAACCAATTCATAAATGGAACATTTATGCAAATTTCTTTGATTTAACTTTCTCTAACGTAATGGCATCAAATATAATAATGGCAAATTGAAAGCAGTATTAGCATTAGCAGTAGCATTAGCAGTAGAACAAGAATAAGATGACAGTGATAGTGGTAATATAGGAATAAACTCTCGTGTATATATATATATATTTATTTACACATTAAATTTTTTGTTCGTTGTGATCACCGTTACACGTTCCATATAAATCTTGATTTCCCTGAAGTTTCTAATTTTGGTAAAAATGTAAATTTTATTTTGTCACATTTTATATATATCCAATAAAATTAAACATCCCCATGCTTAAATTTGTGTGATTTGTGTGTGTGATACAAACATATTGTTAAAAATCATTTGTTTATTTTTGACAATTTAATTAATTAACAATAAAAAAAATTATTTTAAAAAAAAAATTAATCATTAAAATCATAATCGTTGCCTTGTAAAAAATATAATAAATATATGTAAATAGTGTACATTTGAAATAATCTTGGTTATTCATCATCGTCGTTATCTTCTTCACCATCGTTAACAATATTATCCGATGTATTATTATTTTTACTGTTATTGTTACTACTGCTACTGCTGCCACCTTCCCCATAAGGATTGTCTGACCTATTCTCATTTTCATCAACAGCTTCTTGGCCATATACTAATTGTTCTCCTTCATGTTCTTCTGTATTATCACTGTCATTGTCATCGACTTCGTCATCTTGTTTATATTTAGAAAGATCCCAGCCTTCATCATCGTCATCATCATCAATTGATTGATTAACAAGATCTGGGTTAAATGTGAAAAGATCACGACCTGACATTCCTTGTGATTTCCCTGCCTTGAATGCAGCTTCTTTGGCAGCAAGTTTAAGTTCCTTATCTGCGTCTTGTTTGGCTTTACGATTTTTCTTCCATTCTGTAAAACTCTCAAAAGTAACTGGTGTAAGATTAGATCCTAAATTATGTCGCTACAATAATAATAATAATGGCATCATCATTAGTAAGCATAACTTAATAATCAACGAAAATTATAATTATAGTGTAAATATTTACTTCAGTTTCCAAAAATTCTTCGAGCGTTATCTCATCGATTTCTTCTTCCTTAACTTTTTTGCTCTTGAGCACAAACCCTGGTGGAAGAGCGTGTTTATATTTACAAGCTTTTCCTAATTTATTCAAATATAAAAGTAATTTTTAATTCAGAAATATTTTTTCCAAAATAAAGCTCATTTTTAATAATAGTAATAATAATAAATAATAGGTAATACGAACAAATCTTTAATAGATCAGCTCACCTCCATTTGGACATTCCCAAAACCATCCATATTTTTGATTTTCGATTGCCTCCAAGAAATATTTACATACAATATCTGTTGTTGTTTTAGGATTACCATGTTTTGACGTAACAACTTCTTCCAATTTTTTCTGATCCCATTTATCAATCGTGTCTAATATTAATAATGTTAATAGTAAGATGGTTGCAATATTTGCCACATAATCATTGATACAATATTCATACGTACACATAAATGTACATGTATAGAACTAATACTTACCATTTTTTTTTGCTTCGTCAGCCCTAGCATCAGTGTACAGATCAATCTTTGTACTTTTTCTTTCTACCGCCATATCATGAGAAAATTTACATTTATCACCTTTTTGACATTGACCAGCTTTAAAAAATTGACATAATACAGTTTTAGGGTCGACGCCAAACGGTACCTTTTGTACTTGAACAGGTTTAAATAATTCTGCAAGTTCTTCTTTCTTTTTTTGTTCTGCTGCTTTCTTATTTGCGAGTGCTTGTTTTTCTTGCTCTTTTTCTTTCTATATAAATCATGCATTTTTTTTTTTAGAAAATTAATTTTACAAAAAAGTCATTAAAAAACAATTTTAAAACATAAAATACCAGTGCTTTGTTATTTCCTGGCTGCATCACTTGATTTTGAATCTGTTTGATTTGTTGTTGGACCTTGGCAGATTTCTTTTTATTTTTTAAACCAAAGGTCTTATCCTCAACAATCTTTTGTTTATCTTTTTGTTTTGATTTATCTGATTGTTGATTAGTTTTCTTGGGAGGCATTTTGACAAAATTTTATCGAGTTAATGGTTGATTAAATCTTTCAAACAAAAATTTTTCAGTATTAGTATTATAATTAACATGTAGTGTACGTGTAACCTGATCGACGAGAAGAGAAAAAGTTTTTTTTTTTTAAAATTTTTAAAAAAGGAAATGTCTGATCCAACAATATTTTCAAATTTCATACCTACATCCTTGAATGTTATTCGCTGTGACAATGATAACGACAATTATAAAATGTGTATAGTTGCAATGAAGAGCGGAGAGGTAATTTTTCTCTGATACAACCATATAATTTAAATAGATATTATTATTATATTATATTAATATGATTAATTATAGAAAATATGTTTTCAAGGTAGTCTTCTTGTTGCAACAATTTATGGAGACGCGTTAATTATGGGATATAGATTAAAAAGTGCAAAATCAAAATTTTTAGAAAACAATTTTAATAATTTTGAAGGTGAAAAAGAAATGGACATTCTATTTCATCCAGTGTTTTCACCTAAAACACATTCACTTTTAGTTATAGAGTCAGTTGAGAGACAAGATTTATCATCATCGTCATCATCATCGTCAGATAATAAGGAGATTCATTCTAGTATTAAAGCATCAAATGGTATAAAACACTGCATCAATGAAATGTTGAAAAAAAACAACGAGCACAACATATTGAGAAATGGTTATGACACCATACTTGTTTTCCGAGATATTGTTTCATGGTGTGGTATTAAACATTTGGGAATTGTCGCACCAATATATAGTGATATTTTCATTCCTGATGATGACAAGTATAAATCAAACATAGAAAAACAAGATTTTTTTCAAATTCCAGGATTTTATCCGGTATGGGTTTACTCGATAATAATAAAAATAATGATAGTAATAGTAATAGTAATAGTTGTGTACGAGAAAATTTACATTGATTTATAATTATAAATATATATATATATATATTATATATATTAGATTTTTGAAATGATAAATGAAGAGGGTGTTACATCTTTTAAAATATTAGATTCTTGGAAGCATGCAGCAGATGAAATGGAGACTGACTTAATTAAGTATGGCATGTACTCAATTAAATAATGAATAAATATATGGGTTTATTTGAAATTATAATATATATAATTGATATATTTATATATTTTATTGATTAATTATTAGGCATACCACTAATAGGAATAACCGTAGGACATAAAAATGTTGGAAAATCTAGTTTTTCTAAATATTTACTTAATAGATTACTTAATGTGTAATTATTAATGAAAGTTTTTTGTTTATTGATGAAACATTAAATCGAACAAATTTAATTCTAAAACCGATTATTTTGCAGATGTCCAAAAGTTGCGTATCTTGAAACAGATATTGGACAAAGTGAATTTACACCAGAAGGAATTTTGTCACTCAATATTATAGAATCACCTATTCTTGGTATGTGTCATATCTTTCAGTAATAAATGATAACGATGATGATAAATAAGACTAATAAGTAATTAATAATAATAATAATAAATAACACATATGGTGAATAATACTAATAATAATTATAATTAATAAGGACCATCATTTACACACATTCAACAGCCGTATTGTTCATATTTTATTGGCGACAATAACCCAAAGGACAATCCAGACTACTATTTGGAATGTATCCAACAACTAATAAAAGTATATCGTCGTGAATTTGCATGTGAAACAGATTATGAAATGCATGGTGGTGGTAATATGACGATGATGGGTGATGATAATGATGGAGATGGAGATGAGATAATGATAAAAGGTGTTCCATTAATAATCAATACACACGGTTGGGTTAAGGGAATGGGGCTTGATATTTGTTACGAGGTTATAAAATTCTCCAAACCGACACATATATTTCAATTTCATTCCGTTGATCAAGAAATACATAATTTGCCAGCATTTCCAACCGATTTGATATCTTCATTGAAAATGACGAATGAATCGACAGCTCTTAAAATAATAAAACTTGAATTTTTTGATAATTCCACCATTTCCAACAAAAGATATACATCTTCAGATTATCGAACCTTGAATATGGTATTTTATTTTCACGGAAATTATAATAATGGAACACAAGATGATGGTAATGATGAATGGTGGCAATTTCGTAAACCGTTAGTTAGGCATTTACCATGGTGTTTGGATTGGAAAAGATGTTTAACTAAAGGAGTAATATTGATGTCAGAAGAGGTACCTTATAGTCAATTATTGTATGCATTAAATGGATCGTTGGTCGCATTGATTGGAGATAATAATTCTGATCATTATTATTTTCAAGAAGATGAAGGATTATTTGATGATGATAATGAAGATTCAATGATAATTGAAAATCAAGAAGAACATGGTCATAAAAAGAAGATTGTAAGTGTTATATAAATACATAATTATTGAATATTTATATTATATATTTATACGTGAAATAATATGATCTATTTTAGATACCACCAAAATATAATCTAAAGAGATCAACACTGCCATCACCAACAGAACATCAATGTCTTGGATTAGCAATTATACGATCGATTGATCCAACCAACCACACATTTCATATACTAACACCACTCCCGCCTACAATCCTTTTCAAGACCAATGCAATAATGAAAGGAAATTTGGAACTGCCAATATGGTTCATGATAGATAATGGTGGCGATGATGATGATTACTATTCGAGGAGTAGGAGTAGCAAAGGGGTGATGGTGTCGTTTGGAGTTTGTGGAATACCATGGAATAAGTTACCATATATGAGTGTTGAAGCGGGCGAAGGGGTAGGTAGTACTGCTAGAAATAATAGGAGATATCTTAAAAGACGTCAATATTCATAATAAATATGTAAAAATTATCCCCTTAATTCTTTAATTTCGGGACCACGTGATTCGCACAAAATAATGATAATTTCACATGGAAATTCATTTATTTATTATCTCAATTGTCATTATTGCTATTATATGCATTATATATTGTGATTACATAAATTGTATCTGTTAAATGCCATAAAATCGTTTTCTATTCTTCTATTTCCATATACTGTATAATTAATTTATATAGTTTAAAGTTGATCATTCTGACAATTTCAAAATGTAATAATAATAAAAAAATCTATTTGATTATCAATGAAATTTTTTTTAATTTGTTGATCGAGAAAAAAATTTTTTTACAAGAAGGTAAAACCACGAGTAACCAAATAGTGTTTTTTTTATTGAAACATGTTGTTTGAGAAACAATAAACAATATAAACAATATTTAACCAATAAGAGAAAATCTAGATAAAAACAGAAACAAGGCTAGCCATAATTATCATGGTGATAGCATATACTAGTCGAGAGGAGAGTGAGTGGTTTCCTAAAAAAAATAAACAATATTCAAAAAAATCATATTGTGGATCTTGAACAAAATGCTGATTAAGTCAACGAATGAATGACACATTCTGATAACAAATTAAATCGCGAGATGACAAATGGGATTAAAGATCTTAAAATCGAATTTGAAAAAAAAAACGGTTTTAATTTAATGTTTACTTGCCATATATAAGCTAGATTTAGTATGATGTGAATTACTCCTAGCTTTTGTTAATTGTTAATTCGATCGATTTAATTAATTGGTTAAATAGCACGTATACGTGCAATATTGTCATTATTAACTTTTTTTTTTTTTTCATATCACAAACCCAGATCTGGTACTAAGCAAGACAAATAAAAGACTAAACTAGGGAAAATTAGGAAAAATGGTAAAAGCATATAATGCTCTATCTAATACCAATGATAATAACGACCGAAGCTGCAGAAAAGAAAATAGTATTGTATATCACATTATATGCAATATTTATTATAAACACAGTATATAATTTTATTATTATATTTTATATTACAAAAAGTAATCCGAGGGAGCTGGCAGGCAGGATCCCGGACAATCATATTAGACTATTAACAAAATTCGAAAAGTTTTTGAGTTGAGCCTTTAGCATTTGTAATGATGGAGCCACTGGTATGACATGATTGCAATAAAATTTTTTTTACACACACTATATATATGAACATTCGCTCACTAAAGATAAAAAAGTTAAAAGTTACATCATCATCACCATTACCTTCGGTATAGTATGTATTGGAATACCATTTTAGAACCAAAATTTGCCGATCATTTTATTTTAATTTAATTTAATTTTCACGATACGAAAAAAAAAATCTAAACAACAAATGCATAAACGATCAATAATCTTAAAATAGGAAAAAAAAAAAATAATCTAACAATAAAAAATAGCGAATATTGATTAATATCTTTATATAGTAATAAAATCAACAGAATGTAAAAGCGAAAATGATGGGGAAGCAGTAAAATGAGAGACACAAAGAGAAAACACACAAAGAAATGATATTATAATAAATTGATGAATGAACGATGCATTATAGTTTTTTAAAAAAGGTAAAATCATAATTGCGTGAATGAGAGATGAAATAATAATAATAGCATAATGTAATATTGTTGTTGATTATTACGGAAAACATAAAATAAGATAGAAAATGATTTGTCACGTACGTGGTAGAAAATTTTATTTTTTTTAATTGGTAAGAACTATAATTAGGTAACAAGTTAATGCAATGTAAATACATACAAGATCGATGACTTTTTTTAGTGGCTCAATGTTTTAAAAGCCATGATGTGCTAATGACTGATCTTTACTAATAAGTTCAATAAGTTTCTAAGAAACTTTTATTTGTCTTATTAATGGTAAGATTTTCAAATATATTCTATATTGTACATTATTAATTAATTAATTAATATTAATATAACAATTATATTTATCACATCTTCTCTCCAATGCAAACATAATGCGGTAGGTTGTCAAATGACTAAAGCAATTGCCAAACAAACATATGAATAAATAAATAAATAAATTAATTAATTAATTAAAATTTCAACCAAGACAAAGAAAAAATAAAAAATAAGCAAATAATAATATTAGAAAAGACGCGCGAAACCCCTTTGGATAGAACAGGTTTTAAATGCGGGGGGAATAAATTCTCATTGTATAAATAATGAATGATATTTATAATATAGACATTCGATTAATTGTATTATTAATTAATTAATTAGAAAATAATTCATTTTAACCGTAAACGGAAAATTTTATTTAAACGAGATTATTATTATTATCAGAATCAGTAATTACTAATTTTTTATGGAAATAATTATAATAGTGCCGAAAGGGGTGAGAACATTGGTAAAATTAATATAACGGACGTGAAAGAAATTTGTTATGAAATATGAAATATTTTTTATTTTTACTTGAACTGCAGAATTCTAAATACTTTATTTTTTACGCGTTTGATTGCCCAATAAATACGCAGAATTACCCGTGACGAAATTATGATTCTGTGCGTACATGGAATTGTTTTGTTTGGTTTAAGAAGCATATTTCTGTCGTATAACAGTTAAAATTTTGACACATTAATTAATAAATATTACAAATTTAGAAAAGATTAATATTAAGTTATCATTGATATCGATTACTCTATCTATAGTAATCGTAATTATCTCATTGGTGATCGATTACGCTGGTTAATTGATTAATCAATCGGTCTTGATCGATTGACGAATTAGTTTTTTGCTGATAAATAAATTATTTTTTAAAAAAAATCAGTAGATAAAGCTAGTAAAATTTTTTTACTTGGTTGCCAAAAATGCATTGAAAAAAAAAAAAACTCTCATTGTTCCCAATTACTTGGGATGAACGGCCAGGTTCCAGGAAAACATCCAATGATAAACCCAATAATAGTAATGATAACTACTTATTACAATTACCAAATTATTTATTTATTTTTAATTACTATAATTATTCTTTTCTTCATCATCTTGGGTGTGTTATAAAAAAACTATTTGATATTTCTTAATCTTATTGTTTATATTTATTTATTTATTATTTATTTGTTTTTTTTTTATTTGCTTGATACAACATTTCTATATTTTAAGAATGGCATACACACAATAAGTCCCAATTATGCTCTATTAATGTATATATTATATATAATACAAATAAAAAAAAGAGTAAATGTGTGCGTGTGGATGGAATGTAACTAGAGTAAATAAATACACTACTCCTTATAAGCAAGTCTTAACCAGATATATATAATATAATATAAACTTTATTTTCATTATTAATCCATTTTTATCTTTATCAATTTAACTTGTACTAAAACCTGTTTCCAAAGTGACGTCTTTACGCGTTAACGTCACGCCTTTTGATCTTTCCTCTTTGATTAGAAAATTTTGCTTAGCCCCATCCGTATGCGTGTATATGTTAGATTAGTCAGACAATATTTTTTGATTATTATTATTTTTATTATTGTTGAGCAAATAATAATAATAAATAATAATAAAATCTAATATGTAAATCTATCTATGTATAAATAAATAAGTCCATCACCGACACCATTATGTATAGCCACCGTGACTATTGATACGGCGTTCATTCTAATTCATTTTGTTTTAATTAAATCTTATTTTGGAGAAAATGACTTTATTAATAGATAGATAAAAATACATATATATGTATACTCACTCGTATTTATATGCATTTTAGTTACAAAAAAAACGTGAGATATTTATTTTATGTGTCATCTCTATTAAAAACAATACTATCATCATCGTCATCATCATCGTCGTCGTCGCCGTTACTACCATAGTCGCGTTTTTGAGTTTTGAGTTTTGATGTTTTTATGCTTTAAAAAGCAACTTCACAATAATAAATGATATAATGACATAAATAAATAATAAATAATAACAAATAATAAACAACAAATAACAAATAAAAACTTCCTCTTGCTTGCTTGGTAATAATCTAATCATTACTATCGGTGGTTCCTTCAAAAACAACAAAAAATTTTTAAAAAAATGTTATAAAAAGCATATATGGAATGATCGGCAATATGTTTTATTTTTATTTATTGTAATTATTAACAATAATATAATACTGCATATTCATTTGAGTTTTTTAAAACTGGTTTTGATTCCAGATAGCTTGATATACAATTGGTTGGCGCTTCTGAAGTCGGTATACAATTAGTTCGCTATATCGAATGATCCAATATAAAAAGAAAGTTACACGCATGGTTCAATGTAAAATTTGAACTTATCGATTTACGGTTAACTTTTCTATGTATTATGTGGTTTAATAAGCCTATTTATAATTCCATTTCTAATTAATAATATTTTATTTTATAGAATTTAAGCTTTATGCCTCAATCCAAAGGAATATGCGATGAGACTTTGGGGAAAAGCTCGGATTGGCTAAAAACAGTTCTCAATAAACAAGAAATTCCTCCAAACTTAGCTTATTGGGCTTCTTTGTCTACTTGTACTGATGACTCTAACGCATCGCGAAGCAAAAGAACAAAAATTGGAAATTCTATTTCCACCACCACTTCTCCATTCATTTTCAAACCCGTAAACCCTTCAAAACAACAACAACAACAACAATTTCTGGAATGTTCTTCTCCTTTTCCCGACTCATCTAATATATCTCCCAATAGACAAGAATCTTTCTTCTCCAATACTTCTTATTCTCCATTCTCACCAAATTTATTAACCGAGGATCTTGTTAGTAAAGTTATAGATGTTCTGAGTAGTACTTTAGATGAGATAAAAAATGAGATATGGAAAACTTTTTTAAATCCTAATGAAGGTAAAGGTAAATATGTACAAGTTATTATGGTGTGATTATTATTATGTGTTATGAAATATGGATTACGGGTTGTTGATAAGTAAATTTTTTATTATATTATAGTTTATAAATAAAAAATTTTTTAAAAAAATAAAAAAAAACTTTTTTTGTTATTTATTTATATAAAATAATTGTGAGTTAAATCGTGGCTTATTAAAATTTCTATTTTTTTCTCTCGATCATAATTAGATCAAATACCAAAAGGCTTCATTTCTGATTTTAATAAGTTAATATCCAAGACACCATTTTCTCAATATCCAAATGTCCAACGCCAACCAATTAAAAATTTGCAGCATCTTATATCAATACTTTCAGTCGGGATTCATTCGCCTGAAACCGAACTAATTCATCAAGTTTTTGACTTCTACAACCAAATTACAGCTTTCTTGACCGTAATTCACATGTTCTTTGAAGTTGTAGTTATGGACTTTTTATCGAAAGCAGATAGTGATAAAAATTCAAGGCGTTTAGAAATGGACCATTTTATGAGAATTTTTCATTTTAAAGACAATTTTTTGGATAAACAATTTCAATCACAAAGAAGCGAAGATGAAGATAAAACAAACGAGAGTTTAGATTCTTACACATGGTACTATCATAAAAATGTTTACGAAAAAGATTTTTATCATTTAGATCTTTCAAGAAGGTTTCAAAGCCTTTCTATACGTTTTAACACTTTAGAAACTATAGAGTCAATCCTTTCTTTTTTCTACACAAGAAATTTTTTAAATACCACTGCTAAAGAGCATCAAAAAGACCACGGTCAATTCTATACCCCAAAAGAAGTAATTAAATTCATGTGGGATAGGGTTTTCATCAGCAGAGAAAATCAGACTTGGATCGAGAAATTATTTGTTTTCAACAAAATTCCTAGCAACGGCAACTCCTCCACCTCTTCTGATGCTTTTATTCATCATCAAAATCGTAATTATGACAATAAAAGGAAATCACCGCATCATCACCATAATGATCACAATATAAATTCATCATCAGAATCTTGGGAATTTTTACCTAATGCTCCAATGGTTTTGGATCCTTGTATGGGAATCGGTTCATTTTTATGTGAATTTATTAATCGTGTAATCTTGGCTGCTAAACAAACCCCTAGTATATGGAACAATCCAAATGCAATTTCTAATCTTATTAAATCTTTAGCAAAAAATATCTGGGGCATAGAAATTGATTCATTTGCATTTCATTTATGCAAATTAAACATCATCCTTCACCTATTACCGTTATACAAACAATTTAAAGACAATCCTCCTTTTACGAAAGTCCTTAAATTAGATCGGTTACATTTATTTTGTAATGACACTTTAAATTTATTTCTTCCAAAACGTGAACATACCTGGGAATATGACAATTTACGGTTGCTTCGTTCTCCACATAATCTCAAATTTGATTTCATCGTAACAAATCCACCATACATGATCCGTAAGACAGGATTCATCTCTGAGCCTGATATTGAACTATTTGATGAAAGAGTTCTGGGCAAAGGTGGCATGCAAGCGTATGCTTATTTCTTTTGGTTCTGCGTGGAAAGATGTAGGGAAGAAACTGGAGAAATATGTTTAATAAGTGGTACGTATCATAGATTCTTATATTTATTAATTAAAATATTATTATTATTTTAATTTGTACGACCTTTAGTCTATTTTTATAATTGATTTTTGATTTTTCCCATATACTTGTTTTGAGTCTTGTTTTGACTGCATTTGATTAACAATGGTCCTTCTTTTCTACACTTTAGACAAATATAAAAAGTAGTGTAACAAATTATTTACATTGTAAAATTATATATAGTCAGTTAGATTATGTTTTTATCTATCACTTAGACACGGCCTGTGTGCTACTTGATGATCAACCACTTTTTTTTTTATAATCTTTTTTTATATCTATATTTGCATATCAAAAAAATTTTTTACTAACAGATTGATTATTATTTTCTTAATTTCAAATAAAGCGAGTCAATGGATGAGTTTAGAATTTGCAGACAAACTAAGGTAAGCAAGGAAATTATTTATAAAATTTTTTTTTAAATGGCAAAAATAATTTGATTAATAAATATATATATATTTATATATATATATTTTTTTTTTTCAAAACCAAATCAACAAGATTTTGGATGTGGGATAAATGTTATTTTGTAGAATTTTTTCAATTTGAACCTTTTAAAGTGTGGAGGAAAATACAAACCGACTCTTTAATTTTCCGATTACGTCGTCGTAGCGAATCAATAATTTCAAATGGATCCCCAAATATTGGTCTATCGATCACAGCCAACAATAAAGACGATAATGCTAATGATATACTATTTTTACGTTATATGAATCGTAAAGCTAGTCTTAAAGAAACTCTTCAGGCCTATGCAAACTTCGATGCAAGTAAACCACAATTTGACAAGGACATGCATCATAAAATCACTAAACCATTCAAACTCTCACACCAAAACAATTCATTTTCATTCACTTTTTTAATGCCAACATCAGCTGTTAGTGCCTATCTTCACTCTATAACCATGAATTTTCCTTCGCTATGCGATCACTCTAGCATGAAACCTACATGGCTGGAATGTAATCCATTGATTTGGCATAGAGGTCCAAACACTAATCCAGTATATGCACTAGTGGTTCGTACATCGTGGGCATATTCTAAATTTGGTGTAGATATATGCAGGGAATGGTTAAAACCAGTGTTTTATTGGAATGGTAAAAATGGTGGAAAAGAAGCTGATTTCTGGAAAAAAATGGGCGATGAATTGCGGCTCGAAAAAAAAGAAAATTCCCCAGCAGAAGCCTATGTTCCATTCATATCTCATAATGCTGGTGGTGCTACAATATCAAAAAGTGGACTTGAACAAGATAAATCAATGTATTCATTAATTATGGTTGATAGAAACGCGATTGAAAAAATACGCAGCAACCATACTGAAGATAGTCCCTTTTGGATTTATCTAAAAGAAGCACGTAAATGTTTACAAACTACCATGACAACACGAGAAGTTGTATACTGTGGCACAAGTAAATGCGGGTTAGTTATACCTTGAAAATGGTTATTGTAATCTTCAAAGAAAAATTTTTTTCTTGGTCTATTTTTTTTTTGATCGTCAAGATGCATAAATTTAAAATTGAAAAACAAAAAATAAAAATGGAAGTGTGTAACATTACATAAAAAATTTATTATTATATTTAAAAAAAATTATATATTTTTTGCTTAATATTCTTTTTCAGAATTGACATACGTACCAAAATAATTCATCCAATAAATTATGGCTATTTTTCAAAAAATCAGGTAATGAAAAAATTTTTTGATTAATTTTTCTTATTTAATAGCTTAATTGTTTTTTTTTTTCCTTTTTTTTCCCTCAAATTACTTTTATATGCTTATTGATCTTTTTTTTTTTTTTCACATACATAGCCCCGCCAGAGGTTTTTTATAGACGAGGACAATGTATGCGTAACTAATCAAGTAAGTGTTTTTTTATTCATATATAAAATTTATAAGGTAGTGGATGTAGATGTGTTTGTGGAAGGGGGAGGATATTTAATAATATAAATGATGGGTGATGATGATAAAATTAATTATTGAAGAAGAAGAAGAAGAAGAAGAGAGGATATTTGAAATTTGGGGTTTCTTTTGATTTATATTTATTATTTATATTTATCTTCACGTTGTTATTATCAGTGTATATACTTTACTATCAAACCAACCACAAAACTTCCACCATACTTTTTCCTTGGATTATTGAATTCGACCACCATTCAACATTTTCTTTCTCATCATTGTAAATATGATCAACAAGGAAGGATGAGACTTTTTCGAGAGAACATGGCAAAGATCCCATATTCAGTACCAACAGACGAAGAAGGAATCAATTGGGTTATTAAGTGTGTTCAAAAGATGATAGTAATACGTCAAAAACTTTACGAAGGGATAGGATTGTGTGATGAAGAAGAAAAAATTGCGGGAACGATTGTAGAAAAGTTGAGGAGAGGAACTTGGCAGTTGACAGGTAGAGAGTGGCAAGAAAAGGAAAGTCCAGGTAATGGCAGTGGTAATAAAGATGAAACGAACGTTGTTTTAACGGAAGAGCAGGACGGTAATTGGGTGATGGTTAAGCAATTCCGTGGACGTGGTGATGTACTTGAATACTCGTTATGTCCGAGTAATGGGGATTTGTCGAGACATGAAGAAGGAGAAGGGGAAGCAGGAGGAGGAGGAGGAAGAGGAGGAGGAGGAGAGGGAGGATTAGTACTACCTGAACAACTACCAAAGATAAACTATCAAAATAATCATAATGGTAACCATCATCATCATCATCGTCATACATCATCATCGTCATCATCTTCATCTTCATATTCACCTAGTAGTGATGTTGATATGTTGAATGGTGATCTTTATAATAATCAACCAGTTATCGGCAGGAGCAAGCAAAATAATAATTGTGGTGGTGGCGGTGGCGGTGTTGATAGTAACATGACCAAAACTCAAATCATGAAACCTTTTTTTGAATCTCTTTTACATGCTTCCGCTTGCCTTCAGTATGCAATCGATCAATATACATATTCTTTGTACGGAGTAGAAGTAAAATATCAGATTGCATTAGAAGAAGAATTAAAGCTGGAAGTTTTCGAAAGCATGGTATCAAAATATCCCCGTTGGAATACGAACGTAATTAATTGTAATGATGTTGTTGTTGAATCAGTAAAGGGTGCGACTCCAGATTGGTCTGAAAGAATGTACAAAGAGGTGGAGCGAGCAATTGAAACAAGTCAATACCTATTACAACAAAAAAGAGCGACTAAAATGTTTCAATAAAATTCTTATCATCAACTAAATAACTATAATAGTAATACTTTACATAGCAGGTAAGATTCTTTTTTTTTTAAAGAAAACCAACTGTATATATATATGTGTTTGAAAAAAAAATTTTATAAGATTTGGTTTGATTTGAATTTTATTTTTATTTGTTATTGTTATATTTGCTATTAATACTGATTATTTTTAATTTCCCACAATTGCATGCACTTGGTTATTTATATTTTCATTTAGATTTAAAATATTTTCAAATTTTTTAAAGAATAATTAATTATACAATTTAAATTTTTTATTTATATATAACTATTTTTTTTTAATAGAATCATTAGAATCATCATTCATTTCTATTAATTTATGTACATACATATAAATACATATTATCTATGGGTCCAAATTTCATCGTACAGCTGCCTTTTTTCCCTCTCTCTTTCTTTTGCTGGAATTCTCGCGTCTCTTTAAAAATAGGAAATTTTTTAAAGTTATAACACAACCAACCAATCGTTCTACTATAAAAAAAAATTATTTTTCAAAATTAAATCCTTTTTTTTTCTCATTTTTATTTTACAAATTCTTTTAGATAAATAGGAAGGTATTATACCTTTAAACAAAACAAAAAAAAAAAATACTAATTTTCGGAATTATTTTTTTTTCAATTATTGTTTTTTACGAGTTTTAAATTTAGTTTAAAAATATGAAAAAAAAAATATTATAAAAGTAAGCAAAAAAAAAAAAAAAAAAAATAACAAAGGAAATTAAGATGTTTAAAAAAAAATTTATTTTTTTTTTTAATAAATAAAATATGTAAATAATTAGAATAAATAAATATATATTTGACATATGAAACTATATTTATCATTCTATATATTCTCTCGGAGAAATAAATTGTTTGTTTATTAAAGTTTTATGAAATCTTAAATTCAAAAATGCAGGAAACAATATAAAATGTATTATACGTACGTATGTGTATAATAAATATATAATGATTGTGTAAGATATATAAATACATATGTATATTAATATATAATGAATATTTAAATGGAATTAAAGAAAACTAAAACTTTGAAAAAAAAAAATTAAACTTAAATAGTATTCTATCATCTCTATTAAGATTCATTTTAAGGATCATCGTTTGTTTGTTTGTTTGTTTGTTTGTTTGTTTGTACGGATGTCAGTTAGTTGGCTGTTAAAGATTTTCAATCATTGTGAAAAGGAAAGTCGCTCTGTAAATATTTGTATGATTGTTTCATCATATACAATCGGGCGACGACGATTGATTAATTTTTATTCGATCGTTCGTATTTAGAATGTCAATGACATCGTGAATTGTTGTTGCCGTTTTACCAAAATTATGTAATAAGCCGCCCTGCTCCACAACCAACACCGCATATTACAATATCAATATTGATGCACCACGACGTAAGAGTTTAAAAGTTAACCCTTTATAATGATAAATACAGCGAATCAGGTAAACCCCTCCTCCCCTGCACGATTCTCATGTTATTACTCGAGTCTTCGCGTGGCGGCGGTTTACAAAAAAAATTATAATTATTGAAACTTACGTGTTTAATATGCGTCGCGATTAATATATTTACGAGAAATGATTAATGATCGATTCCACCACCCACCTACCATCTGATCTTGCCAATTGATTTTACATTTTAACATCTTCCCCGTGATTCTTAGATTTTATTATTTATCACATCCGGATGATTAATCCTACCGCCCTTTGACAAAGAAATTGAGAAACCAGTTATTTTCTGATTAAAGCATGTCTTTTCATATGTCATATATAGCGTATATTGTCGATTATCGATTGTTTAATTAAATAAATTTTTTGTGACTTGTGTCCAAAAAAATAGGAAAGAAAGAAAAACTCCGCATAAAAAAGTTACATATAATTAAAACCATACATTATTTAATATTAAAAAATGCGCGCGATTATTAATAAAATTAAATACCTGTTTGTTAAATTACCTTTTGTTACTTAGATAGGAGATAAAGTGAAGAATTGAAAAAAAAAAGCGAGAAGAGAAAGAAATAATAAAGTGAAAAGCCCTCCTGATAACAAACTAGTTTTCGTGGCTAATATATCTTTTAAATGAAATTTTGAAAATGGTGAAAGAAAAAAAAAAAAAAGAAAAAATTGAAGATTGTATTGCGACGGCTGAGATCTTTGATGGTTCTTTTTTATCTGATCGAAAATTGTTTTATAATTTTTGTGCTACAAACAATTATATTAATATAGTCTAATGCTAACATATGAATGAATAAAAACGAAACAATGATAATAATAATAAAGAATGGTAACAATGGCAAGTCATATGCCAATTAAATCCCAATGCCATAAAAAATGATCATTTGAAAAAAAATGGTTAGAATGTGCAGCACGTGAATTTTCCTAACCTACGCCCAATAAATGATAAACACACGATATTATTATCAGCAATTTTTGAATTAAAAGTTCTTTCCCTAAATCGCAATAAAACAATAGAAAAAATTTTCGAATTGCATACATATAAAATGTATTAGTATTGACATTGCATCACATGCTTTCGTGTAACAATTCTATATACGGCAAAAAAAAAATTAAAAAAATGAATTACAATATACTTTTAACGATGAGGCTATTATTCCCCTCAACAAAAAAAAAATCGAATTCCAGAAAGAATAGATACGCCATTCATTAGTCAGATTATTATATACATGATTTATCATTAAATGGGGTTTTTTTATTCTCAAATAATCATGGTGAGCTTTATATGTGAGTGAACGTCCTACGTATACTTATGATTAATAATCTAAGCATTATATAATCCGGCTATAATTTTAACCATCAACCTGATATGTCCTTATTTTTGAAGAAATTATTCAGCAAGTAAACTACATGATTTTGTTTTACAAGATATCATCGACTCTTCCCATGTGAGTATCCTGCAAATTTACCGCAAGCTATAAGAGAAGATAAACTTGTAACCATTTTCCCATTTGAATTTTGACTTAAAATATAGCTTCAGCAACATTGCATATGTGAAGAACAAAGATTCTTCGTGATCATCAAATATTAACATAAAAAAAGATCAATGAAACCTTTCTTCTTCTTCTATTATCTTAATTATCAACTCATAAGCACAGATTCAAAAAATGGCGTTGTTGAGCAATACCCTAAAACTTCCAGAATCCAAGTTTAACAATGAAACGACCGTGTAATTAATTTACTTGCAGTAGTGTTGATGGCATTTGAGTTATTAAATCATAATGGTAGTTGTTTTTGTAGTTATATTTTCTGAAGCTTATTTACTGCTACTATATTCATTACCCTTTGATTGATTCTAAAACTCTTGACTCTATTATGACCATCAGGGCTTGCTATTATTTCAGGATCAGAACTTGCCAGAATAATTATAAAACAGTATATTGACATTCTTGAACCTTAACATGACTTTCCAGAAAATCTTTCACTACTTTAGCAATATTTCTATCAATTACCATCTTGGTCTTCTATTAGGGCATTCTTTTAACATTACTTATCAGATTTCTAATATTTTAATATTTTACAAATCATCTCGACCAACTCTATCATATCGAGATAAGTTTTTTGACAAAGTGGTGTATTATGATCCCAACAGTAGAAGGTTCCTCGTTTATTTTTTGAGGCACTTTGTTGGTACTTCCATGACAATGAGCTGGTCCATTAAGAAAATATTCTGTTCTGGTTTAGAAAGAGCTTGAAAGGCTCGGAAAACTTTCCTTTTGGAATTCTAGTTGAACAACCATAGCCATAACCATAACCATAGCCACAACTCACCTCTAAAATTTATTGCTTCATAACATTCACTAGAATCATTAGATTTATTATTACCTTTCATATACCTATAACCCTATATATAAATTTTATCACTAGATTTTTTTATTTTAAATTAAAATCCTGCAAAATGTGAATATAAAATTACCGGATTTTTTTTTTGAATTAGATATATACATGAACCGAGGATAAATGTGGGTTATAGTACATGTTTTGCATGAAATCCATATTTTGTGTAGAAAATACATTTAGAATTTAATCTATTGAAATTGTAGAATGTGGTAATTAAAAATGATAAAAATAAAAGTTTAGAAGGAAAGTAAAAAAAATTATAAAAAAGTGTCATTTACAGTATCATATTATTCATTAATTAATCATTGTATTATTATACAAGTTATATTTTTTATTCCAAACATGAAAGTGAATGTACTTCAACGAGAAAGATTTGATCCATCCATTGTATTTGGAAAATGGTGATTTGACACAGTTAAGCATAACTTCAGCTATTGAACGAGCATACTCGACTATTCCATCTATTTTTAAATAAATAATTAAACCGCATATTTTTTTGAAGAAAATGTGAAACAATGCATACTCTCCTGACGTTGGATTAACAGGTACCCGCACTTCCCAATATGTGGAAAGTGCATACCGTACTGAAGAAAAAAAATTTTTGTTCACCAAAACAAGTGCATACTGACTTTTTAGTACGGCACTCGCTTTATAATATATATATATATAGTCCCGTACTGGGAGGCGTTGAGAACATGAATTGCTATATTAAACTTGTATTTTTTTTAGTACGATACGCATTTTCTATATATCCCCTATAAGTGGAGACGAATTCGTAATGTTTTTCCATTTGAACTTCGATTTAGGCTATAACTTAATATCATCCAGTGACATTATATCTTTATCAGATCTCGAAAACAAGTTGTAGTCTTAATAAGTTAGTCAAGGGTGAATATATAAAGACTCTCAGTAACCATAGTATTAACATAAAAAAAGGATACAACGAAATTGGATTAATAAGTTTTTCTTGGATGCAGCACAACATCATACGTTTGAAGTAGATTCGATCTTTTCCATTGTAATTTGTTATTTTAAATTTTTTAACGAAAGAATACAACTCGATCAAATCAGTACAATATTTTGGTAATATATATTTAGAAAGAATTGGCAACGATACTATCTCTCT